CAGCGAAACAGGAAGAAGACTGGGAAGAACTTGTACCGTTCAGTCCTGGAGTGAAACGAGGTCGAATTTTTGCAATGAAATAATATGCAGTGTTGAATGTTGGAGGTCATTCCCTTGTTGCTTCTCTGCATGGGAAGATACTAGTGCCATAGTGGCCAGCTGAGGGAGCACTAACAACTTGCATAGTCCGGTCTGCGTTTACAGCTGAGGGATGAAACACACAGAGAGACTGCATCGTAAAATATCACCTTACTACTACATCTAAATGATGAAAGACAGATTTGCACCACAGGGCACCTGAGTACAATCCTTCTGGTCTATTATTCCAGTGGAATGGTCAGTGAGAAGTTTAGAGGATGAAGAAATTCAAGCAGATTTATCAGTTTTTAAAAAATTTGTCCATTCACCGCAGTAAAAGTTGTTCCGCTGGAAGCAAACAAGCTAATGAAAAGTAGCCCCGGCGTGATGAGAATGGAACGAGCATGCCTTTGTCCTGTAGATGTTCGCTGAAATTTGAATAGTAGAGCAGAAAGATTCGACTTAAGTGTGTCATGTACAAAAAGACATTTCACGATGCAGCCTGTGTGTTTCATCCCTTAGCTGAAGATGCGTAATAGCAGGAATGAGAGCTTAAATGGTGTAAGCGATCAAACTGGGGGAAGTTGGTTTTGCGTCTCTGAATTCGTGCACGTTTAAGATCACTTGAGCCTGAAACAACTAGTAATAATAGACTAGAAGGGCTGTACTCAGATGTCATGTGTAAGGTGATATTTTACAGTGCAAACTGTCTTTCATCGTTTAGATGCAGTAGTAAAATGATATTTGATGATGCAATCAGAAATTTCCAATATATTTTCGATCTTTGATATTTCCAGTATGCTTCACTATTAGCTGATTTCTGCACTTCGAACAGCATTTATAATTTTCTGCTCAAACCAAAAAAAATATCTCGGCATTCAACTTATCAGCTAAGTAGTAGTATAAAAGCAGCTTAATTTACCCTCCTTCTGTTGCCTTTTTCATTTTTTTTTTTCGAGAATTTTAAGCTTGCTTTATACATCTCCGTGGCAGTAGTTTTGATGTGGCAACTCAGTTGTTGCTTTTGAACGGGCCAAAAAGTAGATCCTGTGAAATTCACATTAATAGTGCAGCAGTACTTTGTTTGACCTGTATTTTTAAGCATTGATTTTTCAAAAGTGTTTTTTAGGGTGGGACACAGAGGTGCTTTTTTTTCCTTTTTGACTCCTACGCCGCTTTCCTCCTGATCTTTTCGGTTCTTGGTGTAAAGTTTACGCTCATTACGAACTGATGCCGCATCTTTGAGATTTTTTCTTCAACTAAAACAGAGTAGGAATGCGCCTCGCTTCGAATGCTTCAGCGGATCGTTGTTTCGGAGCCAGCGCTAGTCTTGGCCGCATTATGTTTGTTCATGTTTCTGGCAACAGGTTGATTGGGGGGTTTTTTTTTAATTGTAGGAAAGATCTATGAGCCGAAAGAAGAACATAAGAAGAAGCCCGGTGAGATGGAGATGCCGATTGAATTGGACCTGGATGACGAAGATGAGGACGATCTGGACGAGGCACTTCACGAGGCGCACGAAAAAGATCTCGTCGATCTAGCCGGCATTCTTGGCATGCATAATTTGCTCAACCAGTCTCAGTACTACAACGCCTTAAAGGTCTCTTTAGAATTATCCAAGCATTTGACGCGCTTTGAGAACGGGGCATCCCAGACAGTATCCACAAAATATCTACAACGGCATCTTTATGCATTGCTCCTGCATTTTGCTCGAGTACTCGTTCGGACTGGATTTTTGCATTGTCGTGGGGAAGGACGTTGAGAACA